TTTTCTTAACTGTAATATGGGAGCATGATTCCCACCAACCTAGCAGCTTTTTTATGAAGACTCAGTGAAGCAAATTGCACATGGGCTGCCTGACACATGGACACCCTGCAGCTACTGAGTTCCTGTCCCCTGACTTCAAACAAAGACTAACATATCCCAGTGATGCAGTTTCCTCCTGAGTTGGCAACACGACCATCCCCTGTCTGTCAATTGGCTCCAGCTTTCTCAGCAGCATTTCAGTGGAGAAAAGCAGTTTTGAAATGAACTCACACAGACCTCACCCTCAAACCCATGGAGTAAGGGGACCCCATCGCCTGACCCACCTCTTCGGCTGACACGCTTCCCAAGCCTACGTCCCAGAGGTCCCAGCAATGGGCAGAGAAGGATATTCTCAGGTCATTCTACAGGCCATGAAGCCAGGTGGAGGGGGCGCATTGAGATTTTCAGGCACCCACTAGATTGTGATGTTTTTATAAGATTCTGCCCCATCCCACTCCCCCCCCCCACACCCAATAATCACTAAAATGTGAGCGACTTTCTGTTCAGGGCATAGCTTAGAACCAGAGCTGTTGTCTAGATGAGGAAACTGAGGCCCAGGAAGGTAATCAATTCACATAAGAGCACGGCTAGGGAACAACTGAGCAGGGACTCAAACCTGGTCTGTGTCCTCGAAGCCTGTGTTGGTCACAGCAAGACACAATCACAGCAATTACTCTTATTTCAGCCACTTCTCAGTGCTCTGTATGTATCCTCTCATTTAATCCTCACAATGGCCTTATGAGAGAAGTGCTGTCATTAACCCTGCTGGACAGAACTGTAGCCCAGGTGACACAAATGTAAAGGGATCGGGCCAGGTTCCTGATGTCGAGTCCACAGTGGCAGCCACTATTCTGCCCTAATCCCAAGGTGGGAAAACCATAATCTAGATCCTAGTCCTAGAGGCCCGAGTTCAATTTCCACCCCTGCCACCTTGTGTCTTGTGTAGCCTCTTTGAACTTCTGTCTCCTCTTTGGTGAAAATAAGAGAAGGGACACTGGGGCTCTCCCAAGCTCACGTGACTGCTGACGTTCCATGAGTCAGGTGGATTTAATGCACATCTATGCAAGAGAGCAAACGTTGCTGGCTACGTGATTTAGGTTTTCACGGCTTCTGCAATGAGAGCTGCTTCACCACTGGACCTGGGTAATCTCATCTCCAGGTGGAGGAGAGAGGGCAGTCATTAATGAAGACCTTATTTCCTAACCCACCGTAGAGCACATGCCTCCCTGTTACATGGAAGCCCCTGGCACCCAGGAGTTTGAGAACATAGCTCAATACGCCCTTCAGTCAGCAGTGCTGTCTCCTACCCCTCCCCTCCCTTGAACTTTTCAGCAAAATTGGCACCAGTAGAAGCAGAACTTCTCTGAGGCAGCTTAAAAGATGCAAGAAGGTTCGTTTCTCTTAAGGAGTCCAACTCCTTGGTGGCCCAAACCATGGCTCACAGCTCCTGCATAGC